GTTTAGGGTTTAGGGTTTAGGGTCCCCCCCAAAACAAAAACAAGAAAACATAATATGCAAAAACGAACTCGATTTGAACTGTTTGCTGGGCTCCTGCATTCGCGTTTTGATTTGGCAATCAGCAGGAGGGGCCCCGAGCTTCATTACGAAACCCTAGAGACTGTTTCAGCCACAAACATTCCACTCACGGGCGAACAGAAAGTGTTCCTAATACAACCCTAGAGTTAAATCAACCTTTACATGCTCGGTAGAACCATTATCACCATAACGTTAATTCTTCGATCACTCTCTGTTAAAAGGGGGGGAGGGGCCGCCCTCGTTTCTTTTCCCAGGGGGTCAGGCATGGTCCCAAGTCCTTTTCTGCCGGTGGGTTCCTCAGATGGCTTCCAGAGGGTCCCCCTCCCAGGTTCCTTTTGCACCCTGCTTCTTGGGGTTAGCCTGCGTCACTGCGGGTGCTTAGGGGTGAGTGGTGCTTCCGAGTATCCTGAACGCCTGCCTCTTTTGCTGGGCACCCAAGCAGTCGCAAGCTCTTGGTCGCCAACCTTGCGCAGAGTTGCATTGCGCTAGTAGTGGTGGTGGTAGTCGTCGCAATAGTGGCAGTGGTGTAGTACTAGTACTAGTAGTGCTGGTATCGCTGCTGCTCCTGCCACCACACGACAACGACGACAGCAACGACAAGGCACAAATAATGGTAGTACACAGGCCTGACCCCTGCCACAAGAAAAGCAACCGGGAGGAGGGGGGGTACCCCCCACTGCATAAAGAACTTGAGAAGAAACCGCGAGGGGAACCTCCCCCCCAAACACCTAAAGAACTTGAAAAGCACGTTCTTTAGGGTACCCCCCTCAGGTTCGTTTTAAGGAGCCCGCGATATTCTTCGGCCCGACCAACGCATGACCGAAGTAGGGTTCGTCATGTTTGTCACCATCATAGCCATCATAAGAATGACCACAATCACCGTCGTGGTCGTTTGCATCTCGAGCATCGCTGATCATGAAACACAAGATCGGTGCCATCTCATCACCATCGTCGTCTTTCCTGCCATCATGCCCAATACAGTCGTCGTCGCCGACGCAGGTATCGCGCGCATGGTGGTCGTCGTCATCAATGAAATCGACGTCATCGTCACGTCACAATCATCTCTTCTTGGTCGTCCCTTCCACCATCACCCTCTCGCAATAGGTTTTGGGTTCTTGCGCAACCGATCCCAAACCAAGGCCTTCGGTGACTAGTTGCAGCCCGTGGCTTGAATTTTTACTGCCTAGCATCAGCCGAAAGTACGAAACTTGGGTTCAGGAATCCAAGCCCATGAAGACAAGGCCCTTAGTCTCGAATCTCCCACCGCTCTTCCGATAATCACTACAGTTGGGTACAGTTAGGATGGAGATGTCCCGCATGCATCCGCCATCCTCTCGGCGCTGACCAGTGAAACAACTGCTTGAAACGTAAAGTAAATTATGAAGCCCTGAACGTTCAGGCCGCAAACCTCAAAGCTTACAACCCTGGAGTTTTACACCCAAACCCGGAACCAACTGATGGAGCATGCTGCGGAAACTCGCATCCTAAAGCTACATGTCGCCAGCAGCACCTGAACTTGCATTGGCAGGAAACCGCACGATTTAGGGGGGGGGGGGGAGCTTTATGGAATCTCTTGTCCTGAAGAATCTTGAGCAGAAAGAAAGTTTAAGATTTAGGGTTCGGGTTGAGGGGGTGTAATTCCGGACTCGTTGTTCAGCTTTTGAGGGTCATAGACTTCAGGAATCTGCGCTCAAGGCCGTATCCAGCGCCGGTGCCTAGCAAAGGGAAGCGGTCGTGCCACGCCCCCTCCAAAACCGGCAAGCTAAGTACGTCTGCCTTGAAATCTGGATTTAGGGTGGCGGGCCTAGGGTTTTCTGGCCATGCATCGGACATGTTGCACTACTCAGTACTCATTCGCTCCTGCGACATGACTATGAGCTTCGCGCTCACATCCATTTGCTTGTAAACCGGTAAAGCTTGCTTTTCCTCCCTTCCGGGCCGTAGATTTGGCAGTGTAGCCATGCAAAAAAAGTCTTAGAGTCTTCGTCAGAGACTGGGGCTCTGGGTTAAAGTGAACTACAGGTGGGGAGTTTAGGGTATATAGGGCCTTTATTTATAAGGCTTCCATAACGTATATAGACCTTCTATAGGGCTCCTATAACGGTAATTACCACCTGAAAATGTCCTAGACTGGCGTTTGCCAGAACATTACCGAAAGTCTCCATTGTAGTTCCGTTTTTAGTTTAACCAACTTTATATTTAGGATCCTGTAAGGTAACCCCAAAAAAGGAACTACGATGGAGACTATAGGTACATCGCCTCGTCAGAAGGGAAACTCGAACGGACCACAACTAACAGCAACCCTAAACCCTAAACCCAAACTAGCACGAGCTCCTGGTGAAAACGTAGCTGCAGTTTCAGCGTAAATCCAGGGCTGCTTGTGACACTCTGCGGCATACAGGTTCCGCTGCGCCATCGCTTGCAGGTGGTCGCTCCCAAAGAGCGGAGCCCAAAAGAGAGGTTACCACATCCTTGAGGACGAAAAGAACCCCAAAAGGGACTAAGGTTCATATACCATATAGGGTTTAGGGTTTAGGGTTTAGGGTTTAAGGTCCATATACCATATAGGGACTCATAGTATAAGGGTAATAGGGCCCCTACTTGTAACGGTGATTTGGTCCTTAAGGATGTTGCCACTTTTCCGCTTGGGGCTTTTGGGCTGGGTCCTGTGGAGCCTTACCTATAGTCCCCATTGTAGCTCCTTTCTTGGTTTGACCAACTTTGTATTCAGGATCCTGTAAGAAACCCCAAAAACGGAACTACAGTGCAGGTCTATAGGCAATATAGGGGCCTTAATAATTAGAATGGGGTTATGGGGCCAATTATACTATAATTATAACAAGGAACGCCCCGAAATATGACAGGTAATTATTAAGACCCCCCATACTTAATTCCTGACAGCCCAAGTTTTTGCAATTCACAGACTAGGTATTGAAGGTTCTGAGAGTAGGGATGTGTCCTTGCTTTGTTGGATGTAGGACGATCCTAGTCTAGGCCCCTTGATAAAGAAGTTTGAGCAGTGTTTGAGCACTTAGATCCACAAATTCACGACCCTACCTCACCCCTAAACCCCAAACCCGAAACCCCCAGGCCACCCAAAACCCAGGACCCCACACCGAACCTGCAGCAGGTCGTTCTGCCAACCAGATACCCTCCCTCTTAAACGCTGTGCTTCTAGCCTTTCGGAAACACAGAGTTATGGGTTTAGGGTTTAGGGGTTTAGGGTTTAGGGTTTGGCTAGGCAGCAAGTTATAGGTAAATATCAACTAAACCCGAAGCACGAGCTCGGGAAATGACCATCGCCAGCAACCAACCCACATGTTCGACCCCAGACCCCTGTAACCCCAAGCCCCTTGTAGAAGCCTTCTAGAATCTCTGGAGTTGGAGACCCCTAAACCACCCAGCTTTGGCGTTGCAGAACAGGTTCTGACGTGGGAACGTCTGTTCCAAGCTCGGGAAGGAGCGGGTTCCACCGAGAGGCCGTTGTAATTAGAGTAGCTGCTTTGGGGTATGTTGTTAAACGAACGTGTAAAAAAAAAAACAGTTAACAACATTTAGTACAGGTAGATTAGGGGGTTTCCGAAAATGGGGGACCCTAATATAGTACCCTAAATAATAGCATCCCTATTATGAGGACCCCAAAATAAGGTACCCTAATTTTCGGAAACTCCCATTAAGGAATCCTTAAGGAATATCAAAAATAACTGTTTCGCCCCCTATGTTAGGCTGCTTTCGGCTGCCTGGCTCAGGCTTCAGGCTTATATAGGGGCTCTGATAATGGGGTTTCGGAGCCTATACAATTTACTATAAACCGGAACACCGGTTTTGGGGCATATACTTTTTGTTATAATAAGGCGCTTTAAAGTGTATTGCTAATCATTTGGGCGCCTATATTACAAAGATGATCATTTATGGCTTAAGGTTTTAGGATGATTCTGGGCTTTGAAGTGTGAATTCTGATCTCAAAAAGCTTGCTTAGCTCAGCTTACACCTTGTATTGACAAGCCCCAAACCATGTCAAATGGAAGCCCTAAGCCACTTGCGACCGCCCCTACAAACCCTATGGGCCCCTACCCTGCTGCTACAACTACCACCAGCTCACCACTAGTCGCTAAGACTATCGGGTTTAAGGTTTACGAGATTTAGGGTTTAGGGTTTAAGCTTTAGGAGTTTTAGGGTTTCGGGTTTAGGGTTTAGGAGTTTTAGGGTTTAGGGTTTAGGGGTCGAAGTCTGCCACGACTTCGTTGGCACAAACATGCCGCCATCATCACCACGATGTCGGCTTCTCACACTGCAGACACTCGGAGCATGAGAACATCGAATCACGCATACAGATGTTGCTTCCAAGAATAGTGGTACCAGTAACGAACTGGAGCGAGGAGTATACACATTCTTGATCTTCGCTACTATTTGTAAGCTTCTCCAATTAGGGGAAGGCCTTCCAGAGAAGTTCGGATGTGTTATGCCAAGCTTGGAACAGAGCCAAGGTAAATTTACACAGCCTCATCGGGGCGGAGTGGACCAGGTCTTGAAATTTAAACCCCCGGTTGAGTCTGACCCAGCAGACATGAAAATCCTGGCACCCCAGGCACCCGGTCCCTTTAAATGACCGTGAGGACCCATGCTCCGTAGAAGCACCGAGCAAAGTTGTACTGCAGGGATAGATCTGCCAAGAACGAAAACAAACGCAATACGAAAACAACTGCAGTTCATGCAGGAGCTGTAAAAGCTAGAACAGGGTTCTGGGCTCCTTTCTAGTAGAACGGCAACTATTCTGGCCTCTAGAACCATTGAACGCTAGACCCCAAAGCTGCGAAACGACTGCAATTAGGGCCTCAGGACCCTAAACCCTAAACCCCTGAACCCCTGAACCCCTAAACCCCTAAACCCTAGACCCTAAATCCTAAACGATAAATCCTAAGTTAGGGCCTCGGGCATGCCTGGGGTCCGACACTGATGCCTTTGGAGGAGCTTGCAACGTACGCGGCGGTCTGAACCCATGCGCAGAAGAAGCCTGAAGATCGAAAAAGGAGCTTCTTAAAGGTTTAGGGTTCAAGGTTTAGGGTTCAGGGTTTAGGGTTAGGGTTAGGGTTCAGGGTTTAGGGTTTAAGGTTTAGGGTTGTTTAGGGGTTTAGGGGTTTAGGGTTTACAAGGCGCTCTTTACGGTGGAGGGCATGGGGCTGGAGTGTGTCTACTATAGGTAATATAGGGGCTTTAATAATTAGAATAATCTTTTGGGACCCTTTATACTACAATTATTATGAGGAACCCCCAAAATGGTATGGGTAATTTATTTCAGCTCCTATACTGGCTTCGAGGGCTTGTGTTTGCATGTTCGGGGGTTGAGTGATGGGTACGGAGATGCGGAGATTGCGCTGCATGCTGAATTCTGCATCCCCTCTAGTCTCAGGTGTCAGGTTCACCCAGGGACTCCAAAATCCTTTCATTAAGGAATATACCTTAAATTAGAATAGGACCCCTAATATGATTTAAGGTATATTCCTTAGTTAAGGGGTTTTGGAGTCTCTGGGCAGCTTCACATGCCACTGAAATCGTATGAGTCCGGACACACTGGAGCACCCCAAGTGGAAGGCTTGCGGTTAGGGCTCCTAGAGCTCGTTGAAGAAGGCTCTCATGGAGTCCATTGGCTTCGTAGCTTAAGGTGTACTATAGGGTAGCTTAATAGGATGTACTCTAAGGGAGCTTAGAGCATTATTGCTCATTGGTTTAGCGTCTCTCGCGGAACGCCAAACGCAGAACCAAGCGAAGTCAACAATGGGGCTGCCGGGCATAGGGCCGAGGGTTCAGGATTTCGGACCCTCAGGTGGGTTTAGGGTTCAGGGTTAGGGTTTAGGGTTTAGAGTTTAGGGTTCAGGGTGAGGGTTTAGGGTTTTGGGTTGACAGAAACAATGAAAGGGACCGAAAGTTATGTCCAGAAGCATAACATCCATAAACCTCCTGGCAAACCTTAAAATCATAAAAACCCCCCTGAAACACCGAACAGCCTTCAAAAGCAGTTCGTTGGCCGAGTGGCAAATCCAAAACTCCTTGATGAGCTTTGCGTCTCGAATTGGTACATCGCCGAGCCGGAACCTGGCACTGCTCCTCCCACTCCTACTCTTGCGACTGCTACTTATTTAGGGTTTAGGGTTTATTGTTTAAGGTCCAGTTTAGGGTTTTGGGTTTATTTAGCTACTGATACTACTACTACTACTACTACTACTACTACTACTCCTCCTCCTCCTCCTGCTGCTGCTGCTGCTGCTGCTGCTGCTGCTGATGCTGGTGCTGGTGCCTTAAGTTGCTCTCAGACCTCGGGTCTTAGACCCTCGGGTTTTTGTTCTTTGTCTTCATGTAAAAAAGCCAAAACTCAGCACGGTTTAGGGTTTAGGGTGTAGGGTTTAGGGATAGAGTTTCTACAGACCTTAAACCACACCCTCAAACCTATACAGCCTATACACGTGCCCTGTTAGACGAAAAACATCGGACCTCTCAAATCAGCCGAAACTTGAGTCTCGAGGGTGTGCAGCTTCCAGGCACAACGTTCCCATATCAGTATCGGACATATAGGTATTATAAGGAACTTAAAAATCCGATTAAGGTTTTGATGTAAAATCGGCTATACTTACAGAAAGGAGCCGGACGGAATTTCAATACTCATTCTTCAGGCCCTGGTCTTGGAGTAAGAATGATCAAACGATGAAGGTTTCGGTGTAGATGGTAACATTCTGAGTTCGACTCGTCCATGCAAAATCCCATGCTCGCCCGTGGCTGCTGCGACACAGACCCGTATAGTAACCCTCAGGATATACCCACCCCAGTGAGTCCTTCGACACAGACCCTTATAGTAACCCTCAGAATAAGCCCCATTCAAAATTCTCGAAGCTACAACACACCGGCAGCAATGCCAGCCTTGACCCTGGCCAAGGAACATCCGCACCGGCATCAATCAGCACCTTCGGCTTTATTTGGGCGATTGGCAGGGCTGGGCGGGGGGGGGGTAGGGGTCCCTTGTTCAGGAATCCTTGTCACATGGACCCGATCATCTTTGGGGTGTATACCGGGGTCCCTTGTTTCTGAGACTCTCAGGTTAGCCCCAACATCTACAATGAACCCTGCCTTTCTGTGAACTGACTGACGAAGTCTCTCGATCCTCCACATTCCACATTCCGGGCTGAACTTTAGGGCTCAAGGGTTTGGGGCTTAGTATAGGGTCTGGGGTGTTGGGCCTCAGGACAAAGTTGATCACGCGTTCGGCGTGTGACTCAGAGCATACAGATACGTTTTGTTCAGGCGTCCCTGGCTATCACAACCTAATTGCATTGTCAACTCAACGAAGTGGTCGCACTGGTGATGGCGGAACAATCCGGAGGGCCGTCTCAACCTCAGGTGGAGCTTGTTATGGTATGGTGTAAACCGACTGGAGTTTAGGGTTAAGGGTTCAGGGTTTGGGGTCTTATCTCGTGTGCTCTCATTCCCTGAGCAGTTCCTGTTTCTTGAGCAGCATCTTCAGTGATCTTTGCCGGGACCACAGCAGCTCCATCCACAGTGCAGCTGTGCGTTGTGGATATCCAGTGCAAGTGGATACCGCTTATTCCCACATTCACCTCTGACCCACCGCTGCTACCTGCCACAGGATCACCGACTGATAGCAATGTAGGGGCCTTAATAATTAGAAAAGGGTCTTGGCACCCAATATACTGCAATTATATTAAGGAACCCCCAAAATAGCATTGGTAAGTATTAAGGCCCCTATACTAGCTTGAACAGTCAGGCACCTGGAACCATGGCCACAGGATCACAGGTCGGGACCCCCGCGCTCCTTCGATGGCATACTGCCACTGACTTTGGACGCTTCATCGGAAAATGGTAAAAGTTGCGAAACCATGCATTGAAAACGCGCGATCCTACTCCCAATTGTCTTTCGTTGCTCCCTTCTTATTTCGCTGATGACGCTTACCTCAACTCTTCTACGAGCAATCTTCCTGTACATGTGTGGCGTGGAATCTTTGCCAAACGTGGGAGCTTGCAATCCCGGACCTTTAACGAATCATCGGGACTCCTACAGACCTCCCCCGATCCTCTGCAGTCCTTGCTTGGCTGCAGGTGGCAAAGGACGCACGGTAGACGTACTTTACCGCCTCCCACGACACAAATGCAGGCTGCCGCATGGTGACCGATTGTGGCCCAACGCAGCTGTCGCATGGCTTGGACTCTGCCTAGCTGCCATGTACGCCCCAAACCCTAAACCCGGATTTGAGGCATGCTTCTGGGTTTCGGTGTTTGAAACGCCAGCTGAGCCAACAACCATCCACTCCAACCACCATCTAATGATTAATCGAAGGAGTAAGAAATAGATAACAGGCACATCACCAGTTTCTTCTAATCATACTTATTGTGAATAGAAGACGGTTCCTAATGCTCATGAGGGAGGTGGCATTGGACAAATAGCGAGAGCCAAATTCTGGGGAGGGACCGTCATGCCAGCATCAACACATTCTCTCACTCCAAGACTCCGAGGATCGTGGTGATCATGGTGGCTACTCGTCTTTAACCTTGCGTCCTCACCCATGAAGTAGCCCTCATTCATAGTATGCCTTATAGTGGCCCTCACCTTGACACTTGTGGGAGTTTGAACTCTCCACTCATTGCCATCCCATGCCCAGCACCCTTAACCAAAACCAGAACCCTAAAGCCCTAAAAACCCAAATCCTAAATCCCTAAACCC